TGCAGACCAGGGGGAGGGGGGGGGCAAAGCAGAGCCAAGCCTCGGAGCGCGTGGGCAGCGGACAGCCCTGTCCGCTGCCCACGTGTTCCGCCACTTTGCTTCCTCTCCCTGGTCTGCTGGAGACCAGGGAGAGGAACCCCGTTCGTAACTGCGGATCCGACATAAGTCGGATCCGCGTAACTCGGGGACTGCCTGTACATGTATGGAAAAATCTACACTTGGATGGAAAAGATTAGAAGGAACATAATTGCCCATCCTTTAAAATACTGCTGTATATAAATGCTTGCATCAGCCTAACAAACAGTCATTTCCAGCTCTGCTAAATCTCACAATTTTATCATATCTGGTGTTTTTCTTAAAGCCTGAGCTCTTGGAGTCATGTGATTACATAAGAATCTCAGCTTTCATTGAAAACAAAAAGTAAATTTTTAGTTTTCATGGCCACACAAAAACGACTGAAAATGCTCCAGGAAATAAAATTAAAAGAACCAGAACTACTCCTTCGTTTGACTAAAATATTATTTTGATGTCGCTCTCACAGTTTTGATTTGCGCAGTGTAGTTGTTGCCATGCTGGTCCCAGGATATTGGAAAGACAAGGTGGGCAATGTAATATCTTTGATTGGCCCACTTCTGTTGGTGAGAAAGACAAGCTTTGGAACTTACACTGAAGAAGAGCTCTGCATAAGCTTAAAAACTTGTTTTGACGTTATCTGATTAAAATAGGAACATAAAAACCATTGCTGCTGCTGCTGTTATATAATTGCCACAAATCTTATTCTAAATATGACACATTAGTGTTAAGCATACTGCAGGCCAAAAGACCCAGAGAAAACTTTCAAGATACATGTTAGAAAAGTTTGTAAATGGCAATTAGGACTATTCAATGCTAGTTAGGCTAGAACTTTGAAATGCAAACCTCTGTTGCTAGAAGTTAGAGGCAAGGCTGAGGACAGACTTTGCCAGGCTTGAGAGGAGATTGCTCTGGGCCTTCAGAAGTGGGGGAGGGTCGGGGACTATCTTTCAGCTCTGCTGGGCGCATGTCACCTGGAGCTCCAGCAGAGATTTAAAGGGTCCTGGGTTCTGGCCACTGCCAAGGTAGTGGTGGTGGCAACTAGGAGCCCTGGACCCTTTTAAATCACCGGGCCATGGGGTAGTTGCCCCATTTGTCTACTGTCCACCACTCCCCCTGTTGGCGGCCCTGGTTAGAAATAGTACTAGTTGTGAGTGTTTGCTTAGAGATGTTAACCATGTAAAAAGACAATGCCTGGCTATTATCATAGTTATTGATGCAGAGATCAACAGGGCACTTATTGTTTGTAAGTCTTTATAAAGTTTGGGAAACCTAAGCCATAAGGATTGAGGTCTGAGTCCTAACTTGTGCACCCTGGCTAAGTCTAGGCTAAGTCTACACTGCAGGCTTCTTGCACAAGAACTTTTTGCAGAGGAGATCTTGCGCAAAACGTTCTTGCACAAGAGCGCGTCCACACTGCCATGTGCTTTTGCATAAGAGATGTGCTTTTGCGCAAGAGCATCCATCGCAGTGTGGATGCTCTCTTGTGCAAAAAAGCTCTGATGGCTATTGTAACCATCCACACATGCCATTGCTGCCCATCCACACAAACTTTTTTCGCAAGAGCTCTTGCGCAAAAAGGCTTATTCCTCGTAGAAAGAGGAATAACTCTTGCACAAAAAGCCCTGTTCTTACAATTTACTGTACTTTTTCTTGTATAAGAACGCACTTGTAGTGTGGACGCTCTGCAACTTTTTGCACAAAAACTCTGCAGTGTAGACATAGCCGCTGAGTATGATGTTGGACGTTGGACTATAACCTACGGACTAAATTCTAAAAGAGCTCTTTGCAACTACAAAGCTCACCTTCTCTGCTATGAATCTGATCTCAGAACTGTACTCATGTCTGTATGTATATTGATCTTTTAACCAGTACTCTCTCTTTTATTAAAAATATTTTATTAAAAATTTTTTAATACATTTTAGTTTAGTTAATAAGAATTGACTATAAGTGTGGATTTGGGGTTAGCAAAATATTCTTTGACTTGAGTGGCGATATGTCTGATCCTTTGCGACGGATACAAATGTAATTGACTTACATTTATAAATGCCTTTATTTTAATCAAAAGTAACTGCCCTGCTTGAAAATTAGGTGAGATAAAATGTCATTGCACTTACCAAAACAGAGTTAATTATTTATGCTACATACTTTTCTCTTAAAATTCATTTGGATTGACTATACTGTACATGCACTCCATATGGCCAGCAATGCTACTTTGCTTTTCATTTAATCATCACAAATTGCTTTAAAAAGAATGACAATATACAGAGCTGGCCATCAAGTAACTCTGCTGGCTTGACATGGGGGTGTGTTTCCTCTTCCACTTTGGATCAGCTGTGTCAACTCTACCCGAGCTCTCACTTAGTGGGGACTTTTATGATCATAATTATCGATCATTATTTATACTGTGATAATGTTTCAGGACCCCAGGCAAGGACTCCAGTGTGTTAAATAACGCTGCTGTGTAGACATAGCCTAACTGATGTTATTCCAAAATAACATAGTCCATGTCTACACAACAAGCAATTATTTTGACATAATGTTGAAATAATGTCAAGCTGGAGGACTTCCTGCTTCTACTTCTGTA